TTGGTCTGGGACCAGTCAGGGAGTGCAGTGCTCATAATATATCTATTTATATTAATAGATATATTGACTCACCATATTTTGGTTCTAGTACAGAAACTGTAAAGGAGGCTGGGAATGAAAGGAAAAGTTTTCCTCATTTCTTGCAAATTAACTTCAAGAACACGTTGTGGTTGACATCCCTTGTTGAATCCAGCTCCTAAGTTGGGACACAGCAACAGGTAGACAGACAGGTAGACAGACAGGAACTTACTGGTGGTATTGTAGTGGATGCCATTGAACTGTTCAGGACAAGGTCTGGAGATCAGCTCTCCTGCTGCACTTCGAGGCCAGCAGGTTCCTATCCCGTCCACAGACAGGTCACAGTACAGACCTGCAGACAGACAGACAGACAGACAGACCAGAAGAAGTAGTAAGACTATGCAGATTGTGTCCTTTAATCAGGTGAAACTTTGATTCTTATATTTCTGTGTATGCTGTATTACACATAAAGCTTTAAAAAAAACTATGAATGAAGACGGCTTCACTGGAACTTTTACTGTGAAGCTGCCAGTAGCATTAAACTACAGGACTACAAATATAAAATAGTTCAGGGAGGAACAAAGGAAGTCCAGTGAGAGTATAGTAATGGTGTAAACATCCAGTCCTGTACAGACCTGAGGAGTTACTGATGGTGAACGTCTGGTTCAATAACGCCAACGTCCTCGCTGAAAGACAAACATGAACAGGATTAGTGCCGTATTCTTTTCTGATTATTATTATTATTATTATTATTATTATTATTATATTATTACTGTAGATCCAGAGACAGGAGGACAGACAGGAAGTTACCTGTCAGGTTGGTGGACAGCAGGATCAGTGTCTCGCAGGTTAATTCTGCCGGAGAAACGCGTCCACTCAGCAACACACACACACACACCACCTGAAAGAGAGAGAGAGTATTAGAGGTCAACAACCAGGTCTCCTCCCTGCCCACTGGGGTTGGGTACCAAAACATGGTGTCTCTCTTTATAACAGCAGGTAGCCTACCGCTAGCTAGCAGCTACCTTAAACACAGATACAATGTGTGGCTGGAAAAGATTCAAACAGTGGGCGTCCAACAAATGTTTAAAAGAGTGAGTGTTCTTCTTCTTAGTATTATTATTATTATTATTGTCATTATTATTATTATGATTGTCATTATTATTATTATTATTATTGTTATTATTTTTACTGAAGGACCGGACATGAGGGTTGAACACAATAAATAAACATTCTTCTAACTCAATATTGTTTCTGAACCAAAAGAACTCTAAAGTCAGCATGAACTGTCTGTCCTGACTCCTCCTCGTTTTATATTAAACCAGTGACGCTGAAATTGAGAAAGACAGACAGGTAGACAGACAGGTCTGAAGTCCAGACTTTCATAACCACATTTAATATCTCACAGACAGACAGACAGCAAAGCCTCCGAGGAACAGGGTGAAAATATTAAAGTAATATAAGTCCAGTTGTTTATTTCATCCAACTGACTGTCGATCAGAAAGTTTTAATATAATCAATAAATGTGATCGGTACAACGAGAACACTGATTCATTAATTTAACAATTAGACTCAATCACAGACGATTAATCAGTGCGACAGTTCTGTGCCTTCTGTTAATTATTCACTAATGTCACACACACACACACACACACACTCAGTAAATCTGTCGTCCACAGAGATTTACTGTCGTCTTCCAGCAGCTAAAATTAGACACAGGCTTGTGTCCTGATAGCATTAAATGCAGCATCAGTGTAATAAACAGTCAGTGTAATAAACACTCTGTATAATAAACAGTCGGTGTAATAAACAGTCTGTGTAATAAACACTCTGTATAATAAACAGTCGGTGTAATAAACAGTCAGTGTAATAAACAGTCTGTGTAATAAACAGTCAGTGTAATAAACAGTCAGTGTAATAGACTGTCTGTGTAATAAACATAAACAGTCAGTGTAATAGACAGTCTGTGTAATAAACAGTCTGTGTAATAAACATAACACTCTGTTATATAAACTTTCGGGTTATAACAAGTGTAGTAACACTGTATATAAAACAGTGTAATACAGGTCAAGTGTAGGTTACACTCTGTGATTAATAACCGTCGGTGTAATAAACGTCTGTGTACTAACACTCTGTATAACTAAACAGGTCGGTGTATTAACAGTCTGTGTTAATAAACCCTCTGTATAATAAACCAGTCGGCTGTAATAAACAGTCGGTTAATAACAGTGGTGTAGATAAACTGCTATATAAACGTCGGTGGTAACGTAACAGTCTGCTGTAAGTAAACAGTCGGTGTAATAAACAGTTGCTAGTTAAACGTCATAAGAACAGTCAGTGTTAAACAAGTCATAAAACAATGGTTAAAGAGGCGGATTAATTGGGTGTTTGTTTGGTTACTGAAAACAGCCTCATGGCACCAACTGTCACTCCAGAGGGCATGCCCCTTAACACAGGTGTAAATTATGTATCTTATTATAATTTAAAGGTGTATAATGTTAGTATGGAGCCTTATGGAGACTGACTCCTGCTGGCCTCTAGAGGACGGTTTAGAGGGGAACTGCACCACAGACCTTTTCCTGTATGATATTCATAGGTAGGTCTTTATTAGGTGTGTTCAGATCGCATTGGATCAGGATGTAGCGCTGTCCTGGATCAGGAATGCTAGCGTGTCCTGGATCAGACTGTAGCGTGTCCTGGATCC